GGAAGTTTAGCTAATGAATCTAATCCCAAATAATTGAATCCATTAGTTGCCGTACTTTGTACCATGGAAACTTCAATCGTTCGCTCGTCTCTTCTCTGTACGCGGCAGACTCCTCGTCGATCTCTCGATGGAAATCATCTGTAGAGGCGAAATTTGTTAAGATCAACCGGTATAATGTAATAATATTGTCACGATTAATGTTCGTGCATACCTGAAACGCTGCGCTTATATCTTAATGGCCGCCCTTTTCGATTTCCTTGCACGCACATCATCCCATAAACACGAATTCCTGGCACACTCGCGTACGTTGGCTGATCGTGACTCATAGGACCCTCTATATATGTATATAATCAATTTCGTATTAAAATACAAAGTGTGAAACGTGCGATTACATATTCGCATTTTGAAATAATTTCCAAAGTTGTTCCAGTTCACGTGTTGTTTCACAAGAATGTTATCACCGTTTCAAAGTTGAAAAATATTGATTGTTCCTCGTTATTTCTTACCCAATATATTGGCGTCGGGACAGCGACATATCACGAGATAATGAGATTTCCCTGTTCGCACGTTTTGTAGCGCGAGGAGAGACCAGTCTCTTGGTATTCTGCACTCGCGCATTTCCGCCACCGGTTCACACGTTTTCACCAATGTTAGAGCCTAAATCGAGAGAGAGAGAGAGAGAAAGAGAGAGAGAATTTCAATTAACGTATGCGCCTATTTTTTCTTTTTTTTTTTTTTCTTCTTTATGGAACAAATTTGCACGTGCAAATACAAATGTGCAAAAAGAAAAAAAAAAAAATATTTTCCAATTAAAAAAGATCATTCTGAGTTTAACATTTTAAACGATTAAATTTAGAAACTTAACTTTCAAATTCCAATTAAAAATAAAGATATATTTGAGATTATTTCTTTCAACGTGTCATCGTTATAGAGGATAGTTTATTTAAGATATAATTATTAAGATTTATCAGTATTATTATTTAGGATAAAGAAACGTTTAACAATTCGAAAACTCGTTATACTGGTTGAAAGTGAACAAGCGTTACTTTTTTTTTTTTTGCGTACGCTAGAAAGGTTTCTGCCATCATTCTGTCGTTTCTTTTTCCCTCGTATATCTGACTTTCGTTGTTTCTACACCGCAGGCATATTCTCGGGGATAAATGAGACGAGACGAGACGAGAAAAAAGAAAAGATAGTTTTCAATTTCTTATCCTCTCAGAATTGACGTTATTTAATTAATTAATTAATTAATTACACAAATAAATAAAAATAAATAGTTATCCTGTATTCGTGTATGATGCTAAAGAAAATCAAGAGAGAATCAAGAAAGAAAGAAGAAGAGAACGAATGAGAGAGAGAGAGATAAAGAGAGAGAGAGAAATTGCTCTCGTCTCGAGATCTTGGAAACACTTACACAATTTTATCTATCCATATCCAGTTCCCATAATCCCACATAATAAGTAGTATACATAAATTGTTTATATCTCGGTATTATTAACTTTCTAAACGATTGAACAACTTATCGTGTATCAAACGTTTAATGATAGTCATCGCTTGTAACTAACAGCCACCAATTTTTTTTGTCCCAAAGTTATACGATTGTTTTTTTTTTTCTTTTTTTTTTTTTTTAATTCGCAAAGAGAAAACGTGCTCGCGAAATTGGCGGTCGAGATTTTAAAAGTAATCATTAAAAGAAAAAAAAAGTAATTAAGAGATACGGGGAAAAAAAAGTGAAGAAAAAAAAGAGTTGCGAGAGATGATGAAATCGAAGATTAAATTTACGTTGCGTCGGATAGAAAAAAAAAAATTAATACGTGATAATATACGGTCCTTCGCTTCACGTGTTTCAACGTCGATAAGATCGAATTCAAACTTTGGAACCGATTTACGTAAGAGCGACGAGAAGAAAATTTGAAGAAAATTTGAATTACGCGCAAAATCCAACGTTTCGATGAATTGAACCGTATTGACTTCCGTTCCGTATCGTTCCTTTCGTTTCGTTGTGTTAAGCGTAACGAGGTTCGATAAGCGTAACGTGAAAAAGAGAAACATTCTAGACTCGAGAGAAGAGATACACAGGAGTGAAGCAAAGGAATAAAGAAAGGTCTAGTAAAGCGGATAGTGCGGCAAGGCGACTAACCTTGGTTCGTGGGTCGGTGACCAGCTCGGTAGTGTGGAGATCGTCGCTGTCGAGCGAGGCGCTGCAAGGATCGCGGTATCTTCCTGGGCAAGCGCACAGAGGCTGAGTAAAGTTCAGCCTAACGTAAACGGCATTGCAAACCTGCTGTACCGCGCACTCTGGTAACAAGTAGATATGCTGATTGTGCGGATAGTAGTGGTACTTGGTTGGTTTTGCAAGAGCTGCGCTTGCACCCTCCGGTAGTCGTACCCCAGTCTATGAATCGATCGATAAACATTTTTGTTAGACATGCGTCGAAATTTAATTTCGATTCGAAAACTGAATTAAAAGTTGAGATTTTTAAGAACACGAATAATTAAGAGGAATGAAAGAAGAAATAGGAGAGACTAGAATAAAAATTTGTCGTGTCGTGAATTCACGATCGTGATGATTCTTGATGATTCTTGGTGAACCACAAACTTGATTGTTCCATTATGATAATATTGCTAAAGCTATAATTCCAAGAGTATTTCCAGTACCGATGCCGACGTTAATGTCCGGTATTTTCTAATTCTTTGCCAATTTCTAAGAATCTTTTCAAATCTTCGAATAATCGATTTTACGTTAGGAACAAAGAACTGCTTCAATAACCATCATTATTTTCTTTTTTCGTTACGAGTGTTTTTCGTTATTGTACAAAGTAGTTATTTATTTCTTATTTAACAGAATGCCGTTAAAGGAATTAAATTCTTACTTTTATCGTTACGTTTCATTAGTCCGGTTTTTCATTTAATCGTAAGATTGATAATTAACGATATTTTTTGCTTAAAATGTACCACGTATAATATTAATCTAGAACAGCTATTTTCATAACTGAATATATTTCATTGCTCGAGGCGGATCGAGAAAATTGTCTTACGAACACATATACTATCTACGTAGTGCATAGATATAATTTACGTACGAACACGTACAGTTGAACGAGCAATTACAATAAAAGCGTGTAGCAAAGTCGTTCGATTCCTTCTTTATCCTTTTTTTTTTTTTTATTTCTTTTCCCTTCATACTCTTCTCCTTTTCATTCTTTTCTGCTTGTTTTGGTATCGTCACGTTCCACTACCGATATTAACATCAGCCGATCCGCTCGCACGTCACGGTCATGAACACTTGCCCTCCTTTTGAAACGTTAAAACGAGCAATGCGATTCGTGACAATCTTCTAAAAAAAAAACATTGAACTTAATACCAATATCCAAGAAGCTGAACTTGGACGACTCGAAGAATGCAAGTATTTAGAATCTTTTCCCATTCCTTTAACTTATATAGGTTATGTTACGTGTCGACGATTCACGAGTTTTGCGCGCGAACTGTAATTTCGATAAATTCGCTAAATTCGTAGATGGCGTTGATAATATCGAAATATATTCAGAAGAATCGACCGATTCGATTAAAGTTTTATTGGAGGTATGATATATGATCGATATAATATTTTATAATCGTAATCGTAATCGTAACATATATATTATAATTTTGTTCATTTTTGTTTCTTGATAACCAATCTCAAGACATAATTATCTTGATTAAAATTAATTTCCTCTCTTTTTTTTTTTTATTATCGAAATAATGTATCATATATACAATATGTGCAATATTTTAATGTTAAATGTCTATTATTATAAAATATATATAATATTGTTTTTAATAACATATATTCTATCAAAATAATCTCATATTTCAAATAAAAACTTTTAGGCCATCTTTAACGGCCAACATTTTCTTCCCTCCAGTATAAATTGCTTGCAATAAAATTTTGATATTGTTGAAATCTCTTTTCAACTCAATACTTAACTCACAAGAAATTTATATCTATTATTTTAGTATCATTGCTATTTTATTACGCGAGATTGTGTGTTTATTACATTTTTATTTTTATTCCTATCTTCCTCTTAACCTCAATCTCACATATGAACTTTTCAAAATTGAAACTAAAAATATTATTTTTTTTATACTTTTTTTTCTTACCTTTTTTTTTTTTAAGAAAATGTCGAATCACAAAAATAGAAAAAAATTCGAAATTTTTTAAATTTTAAATTCTATATTTGCTACACGTTTTTGCTCTATCATTTTGTCGTTTATAAAATGAAGTCGAAAAAAATTATTTTATTTATTTTTAAATTTTATAAAAATTATTAATTGTTTAAAATATAATGAGAGTGTTTCACATTCGATATAATCTGATTTTCCAATCATGAGATAATAATATATATATATATATATTTTCCGGGTAAAACGCAACTTGATCCTTATTATTAAAATAATTACCGGATGTTATGATCAATGAAAGAGTTTAGGATGAAAGAGGATGAGAAAGGATGAAATAAGAAATAGATAGAGGAAAATGAAATTGTTCAGGCAAAAAAAAGTGGTGAAGTTCATTATACAGGAGAAGAATAGTTTGTTTTCGTTAAACAAAGTGCATGATTTAGTTGCAACACATCTTTGACCTGTGAAACTTAACTACTTTATAGCAGTGTAGTTACGGTACTTATGGTATAGTTAAACATAGTTATAGCTTAAACAGTTATATTTTGCGCGTGAAATGTTCCGCGTATAAAATCCATCCTGTTTAAAAGTACACAAATGAAATAAAATGATTCATTCTCGTGAGAAAAGAAAATAAAAAAAGAAAAAACAAGAAGAAGAAGAAGAAAAAGAAGAAGGAACAATATTGTATGAACATTGAATGAGAAGTGCAATTTTTCTCAAAAAAATAATTGCTCAAAATAACCGAATATTTCTTGAATTATTATAAATTATAATTCGTTTCAGTTCAAACAAGAGAGGGTATAGAATTTTTTTAGGTAAGATTGATCGATCCAGAATAACAGGCGGGCATAACATTTTTTTTTTTTATATATGAAATTTTAATACATTGAATTTCTGGTTATCCGTGTTATTGAGTGGATACAGTTAAATATTTTCCAAGAATCATTGCATAATTTGTTTGAAGTGAACAAACGAATGAATGAGCGATTAAACGAGTGAATGTGAGTGAGAGCGAGCACGTGTAGATATACAAAGGATATAAAGTGTGAAAGATGCATGCATACATGAATCAATTAAGAGTTAGAAAAAAAGAGAAGATTTTAAAGAGAATACAATTTAGTATGAATGGTTCATTATTATTGCTTCTAACTACACAATCATATTATACGATCTATCTGCAATCCGATGTTCTTGGATAATATTACTTTTAGAAAGCAGCAGATCATTTTTCCTTATAATCATTTACATCCTATCATTTGCATTTTTAAATTAATATTTTTATACAGAACCATAAAAACCTATGCAAATAAGTTTTTTTTCTTTTTTTTTTTTTTTTTTTTACAACTCGAGTCAAACAGTTGTATATGTACAAAAGATCGAAACTCGTAACTGGAAAAATATTTCGAAAAGATATTGCAAAATCAGTGATGAACGTCTGAAATAATAATAATTTCACTCACCTCGCCAAGATTCGTGTAGTTCATCGTCAATTTGATCTGGGGCCGGATCTTGCCCGTGGATTCTCGCATCTCCTTCGACGAGGTCGAGGCGGGAGTGGTGGTGATTTCGTTAAAGCTGGTCGTCGATTTCTTCGAGGATGGTAAAAAGGTGCTCGCGTCCCGATTCGAGGCGATCGTTCTCGAGGAGGCCTCGGTGGGGAACGTGGTCAAATTCGAGCTGCTTGTATTTATCGCCATTGTCGATATCCTAGCCGTCGTCGTCGTTCTCGCGGTCGTTGTGCTTGTCGCGCCACGGTTGCCCGTCGACGGTGCGCCCAACTCTGTCCTCGCTTCCGCGGTCGACAAGGTCGACGCGGATGACAACAAACCGCCGCCCGTCGGGGACGCGAGCTCGGCGGAAGAAGACGGGCCGTGACTCGTCGACAATGACATTGGCGCAGCGGACGTCGATGTAAACAATGATGTCGTCACCGTCGACGGCAAGGACGAGGAGGAGGAGGAGGAGGACAAGAGCGTCGTGATCGAGCCGCTGTTAATCGTTGCGGCAATTCCCCGAGGAGGTATAGGATTCGTTATAATGGAATCGACATGGCTCTTGCCGCCATTGCTGATTTTTGCAACGTTGCCAATAGTAGTGGGGCCTATGCTGTTCTCGTCGACGCCGCCGTTGCTGCTAGACGCAATCATCGAACTGCTCGTCTCCTCTTCGTTGAAGTACGATGGCGCCTTCGCACGCCGATATTTCATCTTCCCGCTACTCATCGGATCGGCCTGCAATTGCGGCGGCAGAGCCATGCATCCAACTGCCAACCATATGGCCGCTCGAACAGTGGACTTCATGCCGTTCTGTTGATCGAAGATCGAGGGAATAGAGGTTCTGTTCAAACGTGATTGTTCTCAAACGAGGAGCTCCTAGAAATAACAGAAAGCGACTACGTATTAGATTTCTCTTTGTTCGATGTTATTTTTTTTTTTTTTCAGCAAACGGATGTTTTTATTTCGTCGAAAAATTAACTGTGAAAGATATACACTGGTTGAGAAAGATCAATCGATACAATAATCGATATATAATTGAAATATATTTTGAATAGCATTTAAATTATATCTGCGCGTATCCCTTGCAAACAAGAGGTAGAAGGCAGAAGCGTGAAACGGAGATGCAGATTGTAAGATGATAGAACGAGAGATCGCGTGGAATCTCGTTTCAGATATCTCCCTTTCTCACGCGCTCACTTCTTTCCTCTATAGCTTTCACGGGAAATACCATCTTCTCGTCTTTCTATAAACGAAAAGAGTTCCGACACTGTGCATGCTCGGAAAGAGTGTGCTAGAAGGGAGGAAAAATGATATAGAAGAGGAAGGAAAAAAGAAAAAAAAGAAGGAAAATCTCGAGGGAAAGTTCGAGCTTCCTTAACGGTATCGGGATTTTTTTATGCATCAGAGAGATTGAGGGGGGAAGGGGAGGGAGAGAAATAATGGGGCGCGATTTTCTCGACGTTCAATTGAATCGTTAAATTTGAACGCACTATAGCGTGCTTGTGCACGCAGGTCACGTGTGCCTCCTATTCTTCTCTGCCATTATACCACGGAATCTTCACCTTTGATCTCGTCTCTTTTGTTTTCCTCGTCAAGCCATCCATCTTTCCTTTCTTTCTCTTCGTTCGTCTTTCCTTCCTTATTTTTTTTTTTTTTTCCCCCTTTTGAATTTTGAAACCGCGTTCCAAAATTCGCGAAAATTTTTTCCCATCGGACGAGAGAATTGCATGTGGATACACAGTGAGAGTGAAAAGTGAGTATATATACATTTTGAAAGACAAGGGATTTATTTGATGAATCTTACTTTTTGTGTGTATTGGAAAATTGATCGAAAAAGTGCAAACTATATAATAAGCGTTTCTAATATATTATATTTTGACGTTTTTACGATTCATTTGCTCGTTACATTCTCGTGCCGCTCGCGTCGCTCGTGTCGCGGTAATTATAGCATCGCGCATATTCACCATGCGGATACAGTGAAATCAGGTTAACCTGTTACATTTCTCGCAAGCCGTTATCTTCCTTTGCATGTTCAAGGCCGCGGCATGCAATGACCAGTAAAATCCACTCAAGCGGTTAACGTACTTACAGTTGATTCCAAAGATATTCTCAGCCGTACCAGGATATTCTCTGATATTTCACGAATAATATTACGTATCGATCGGGAAAAAGGTGAATGTCAATTTTTAAGATGTGTGCTTCTTCTATAATAATATCAATTATTTTGGATGGGAAATGGAATGGAACAGATAGAATGAAAAATTATATTTATTAAAAATTAACTATTGAAATATTTACAGATGCTGAATATACTTTTGGGATCAACTGTATCTACTTAATTACAACCCTCGATGCGTTATACGTATACGCGCCTATTCTTTCACTTATTTTCGATTTCTTTTACGCGTAAATTCTAATAACGATGAAATAAATATTATTTTGTTCTTCCATTTTTCTTTTTATATATTTTCTTCTAACTAAATATAGTTTTTCTGGTTTTTCAATTTACACCGCGATCCGAATACGTCTAAAATATCTATCCAATGAAGAGAAACTTAACCTCACTTTTATTGCGAATCATCGAGTTATTTAATTATCTATTACTTTCTATTATCTAGGACGATTGTTACGAAGATTTATTTATTTTCTTTTTTTTTTTTTTAGAAATATATAATATCTATAAAATAGGCAAAAAATTCTAGAATAGATCAAATATTATTAATGTCAAAATTGTGAGTCTGTGACAGCATAACAAATATATTTATTCACTCCTTTCATAAGATTTAAATCCGTTGGATTAGCTTTTATGCGCATTTCAAAAGTACAATGAAACAGTTATACGTATAAATATTATCAGATGAATTACAACAGCAAGCTATGAGAACTATGATCAAGAGATAAATCTGATGAGGATAAAGCTGAAGACTTATACACTTATAAACTTTATACATTCATTTTATTTCTTTTATTCGCACCTGTTCGTCGACACTTGTAACGAACGGTATCCCATCACGCGTCATATGGAAATCAAACGTGAAAATACTCGAAGTTTATCGCATCCCCGTGTTTTTTTTTCTTTCTTTTTTTTTTTTTTTTTTCTAAGAGGTCAGAATATATGATTGATTTATCTAGGAAGTTTGAGGCGAGTTCGTTTCAATGAATATATCTCACTCTCGCTTCCTGTATTTGTTTTTTTGTTCATTTCTGTACATTTTTAATTATTACACGAAGAATCTACGAGAATTTGTGGAATTTGTATGCCTGGTTCGCATGACCTCGATTTAGAAAAAATTACTTTCAACTTCTCAACTATTTCTTTGTTTTTTTTTTTTTATTCTCGAGTAAAGGAATTATTATTCCATTTCTGATCCTGATGCTTCTGCCATAAAAACAAACAAATGTCTCAACTGATTTAAATGGAATTAAATTTAAATAAAATTTTTAATCTTAATCCTAGTTTGTATATAATATAGAACATGAGAAAATATCAAGGATAAATAGTCCCTCGGAACTCACCCTCGACCATCCAACCACCACGACCTCGATTTCGATCTTGATCTTGATCTGGGTCTCGACCTCGACCCCGACCCCCGAGCACAACCTCGATCTAGTCTTCTTCTGGCTAGTTTCGATTCTTCGCAGTGTTGCCTCTTATAATAGCAGTTTTCCCGAGCTGTGCGCGACTATAGCTGGATGGCGGCCACCTTTCTTTCGTGAGAAAAAAGATCGATAATAGAGCGATGGAAATGGATCTCTTTCGATTAAATTTTATTCGTCCCGGGCGATGTATTCGATGATCAGAACGATTATGTATCACGATAATGTATCGAACGCTCGACACCCGCTTCAACGGAGTTTCGAGCGACTCAAACCACGGTCTTATCGTTCAAATATTCCCGCATCATCGAGACTTTGGTTTGGACATGCAGAATCTCGAAGTAGAAGGAAATATATTGTATACGAGCGACGGAATTTGCCCGAGGAAGCAAAAGCGAACGCCACGCTTAGTAGACGCGTTTCAGAGTTTCGAATGGGACTGTGAGCCTCGTAGAAGAGACATGCTGCCTATGAGTCCCGACTAGTCCCACTTACCAACCAACCAGAGACTCCTTGACTATGCGTGGAATCCTAAGCTGCATCTCCGCCAATCCTCTACCTTCGTTTGCTCCTCCATCGACACATCTACCTATCCACTGCCGACTGAATACTCTAGATCGATACCGGTAGATATATTATTTTCATTCTTCTTGCGAAGAGAGAGTTATTAGGGGCGAGATTTGACAGAAGAGAATCGTAACGAACCTGGTTGTAGAAGAAACTTACTGGATTTTTAAGAAAAAAAAAGAAAAAATAAAATATGCGGTACTCGATGATCGAAGTGTAAAATACAACCTTTTTTCCTTCTCGTCTTTTTCCGTTCCCACGCTTTACTTCCTTTTCCTTGTTTCTTGCTTATCCTCTTTATCTTTCTCTTATTCCATATCTGTATCTTTTCTTTTTAATTATATCTCTCTTCCTCTTAATTTTGATCTCATGTTTAATAAAATACGCACGCTTCGATAAGAAAATATTTGTATTCTTATTCTTTTTTTCTTCGCTGCAAGTGTCTATCGAGTATTACCGTTAAAGTAACAAACGTATACATGAGCCATATTTAAATTTATATGGAGTTAATTGCGCATGTGCACGAACCGTACTGGAAAAAAGCGAAAACGGAAGCAAATCGATAGCAACGGTACCGCTACTTTTCACGCGTTCGATCGAATACCAGAAAAATATATCGGGCATGAAATCATTCTGGTTCTCATCGGGAAACTAGTTTATTTTATCGATGCACCGTCGAAACCAGATCATTGAACGATAGATTTGTAATCTGACATGGTCTTGATTTTTTGCATACTCTTAGCCCTACATCTCCGACGTCTGTAACATGCTGATCCTCCCCTTGCAAATGTAACCAATCTATGTAACGATTTCTTTAATATATCTACTTACACATTATAATGTATGTGTAAATGATACATACTATCTACAATAGTAATTAAATTTACATGTTATACTTGAGCAACCGATATCGAAACGTGTTAATATACGTTTAATAAACTATTGCAAATTCAACGAAATATATTAAGTTTACTTTAATTATTATTGCATTCACGTAATATATATATTTTTAATCAATTCTATTTTCACAATTATATTTTTGAATTTTTTTTCTTTCCTTTGCTTTTCCATATTACTTTTATATTTTCTCACAAATTTTCCTGTATCATAATCTTTTGATAAATTTGCTTTTTACGACACCCACTATTTTTTTAGCACAAACGCATACAATTATAATAGTACATTATTAACTGGTAATTTAATGATTAATGTTAGCTATTTGATATATAAAAAGATGCAAATATTAAATTATATTCAAATGCAAAAAATTAATTCGAACATTGATTTAACTATTGCTCACAATTTATACATTTCTAGTCGGTAACTTTCAGGTTCTTGGTTATGTAGAAAGCGTTAGTACTTTACAACTTTAAAACTTTCGCCATCTGGCGTTGCATGTTGGAACGTGTTGGAAACTTGTATCAAAGATTTAATTTATCGACTGAAGAAAATTTATTTATTTTTATGAAAAACGAAAAAAATGGGAAACATTTCGTTGAAATCAAATTATATTTAATATTATTTTATTTAATATTTATTAATTCATATGATTTTTTTTTTAATTTGAACTTTGACATATAATATAATTTAATAATAATAATAATAATAAATTTAATTATTGTTCTGTTTTAACTTGTATATTGTTAAAGAAATAGAAAATTGATGATCTAATTATATAATCTTGATAATAATAATGATAAATCCATTAATAATTATAACTTGTTAATAAATGACAATTATAATAGTTATGTAATACATTAATCGTAATAGTGATGATGGCGCAGTTAATAGTGAAATTTATTTATTTCACTTTTTTAAAATTAAATATTTACAAACACGATATTACATAGTTCTTAGCAATATAATATACCGAATACAATTCACAGATAACATCGTTCCCAAAACAATCGGTAAATAGGGATGTTATAAGTAATGTTTTTTAGTTTTAAATATGTGATCATTATATGACATCCTATATAATACAATACAAATATATATAACAAATATTTCCCATCAAAACCGAATGGAATATTTAACGTTCAAATATTTTTTATTTTCGATTAGAAACGAGAAAAATTTAAATTTCCTCGTCAAAATAATATCATATGCATTTCGATGTATAAATGTATATAAATCAAGAGAATAATGCAGTGTTTCAACGTATTTGTTGATGGTTCTATTCTTTCTCTCTCTCTCGCGCGCTCTTTCTCGCTCTCTCTCTCTCTCTCTCTCGCTCTCTCTATCTCTCTTTCTCTGGACGGTAAACTCATAGATTCAAAATAAACGGAAATTATTCAAAAAGATCCAAGTTTGATACAAAAGTTGGGATCAATTGAAGTTAATCACTTTCCGTGTATTTTCTTCTTGTTCTTGTTCTTCTTTCTTTGAAAAAGAATGCTTTGACAGTTTCATAAATCAACAATGCACATGCCGATCACAAATATCACAAATGGATGTTTTTTCTTATTTCGTTATACAATCATGTACATATAATAATGCTATACGTTTTAAATTTTTTAAATTCAAACGTTATAAATCGCTTCAGAATGGTGCGATTGCGAAGGTACGCAATACCCACTATACGTTTTAATCTCTAGTACACCGGAATAGGATCTTGCTGGAAGTGAACCAGGGTCGGTATGTCTTCTTGGACATCGATGACCTTTTGGGCATTGACAAAGAGGCGATGCATTTACCTCTTCAAGTTGCGAGCTCCGTCTCTTTCGTACAGTGAACAATCGACAGGGTTCTTTGTGCTGACAACGTAATCTCTGAAAAGATTAACTTAGTTCAAAATTGACTTATTTGCCTTTTCATCTTTTCAGCAATTTGATTGAAAAGATTGACATTCTTCTGAATATATTCAAACATATGCAAGAATGTTCAAAAGATATGTATGCATTATATGTTTGAACTTTTTTCGCGAATATATTATATTCGGAAAATCATCCTCATTATTGAGAAGGTGAGATCCTTTTTGGATCCAATGAAGCGAATAATATGTGAATAATGAAACATTTAAATTTTTTCAAATACACTTGAAGTCTAAATTTTTTCTTTGTCTTTTATTCTCTATAATAGTGTTATCGAGAATAGATGAAATGAGGTTAGAATTCCGTATCCCTAGCACGAACTGTGAGCTTGTAACGAATAAATATACCATACATATATATATTTACCACGTACGGAAGCGGAAAAGGGAATGGGAATGCGTACGCCAACACAAATGCGAATACGGACGAATGAAAGACTTACGCTTTGAGGAGAGCACGCAAATGCATAAATAAATCCTGGGTTTCCCTCGGAAGACCTATAGGCTTGTCTTCGAACTAGATAAGGTACGCTGCCCGGTCGGCATCGGCAATAAACTCGCTGAACCGTTGCATTAGCTGGTCCCCCTCCAGGAGCTAAGGTCCATGTGACGTCTCTGTAAACAGTAAACGGCCATCTTGTATACGAGACGCGTGTATATCTGTGTTGGACGCGTAAAGCATTCGCGAATCGGTACGTTTGATCGTTCCGCTACTTGATGTATACTCTCGATTAGACGGACGATCGCGACTAACTTGAAGTAACGACAGATGGGTAGACGTTTCACCGGCTCGCAAAGCTTGTACTGCCGTGTTTTATCAACTATCGTATGTCCGTCGTCTCCGTGTAAACTACTGGGACAAGTACGACCATCCGGACAACGGCATTGCCTCTCGACCCAAGGTGATCCGTATAAATCCACCTTGCTGCAAACTTCACTTCGGTCCGAACATTCGGGCAATTCATCTTCACTATCCTGAAAAATTATAATCAAAAATACATTTTTATTAGCATTTTATGCACAAAACATAAATATAATTAATGTTTAATCGAAATTCTGAGGTTCTATTTTATAATCAGAAATAACTGATCAAGTTTTTATTCGACTTATTTCACTTCATTATATCGTTGATCTAGAAATAATTCGATTTTCGTGTTCGATATTTGTTATATTCGTTCTCGTTTTTGTTAAAAATCGATTTTAACAAATTTTTAATTTCGAACTGTAAGAGTTAATCGACCGAAGAACGAAAAACAACACAAAGATCCGTTAGTCCTTTGAAATGAAGACTAATAAAAGCAACAACACGATCGATAGCGGATCACGGTCACCACGTACCGTTCTCAGCTTGACCCCGCTTCACAAGAAACGTTCGGCCTATAAAGGATGGATAAAGGACCAGAGAAAATATACATGTTTAATACTTTCAATATTTTTACTCAATATATTTATTTATTATTTTTTCATTTTTATTTCATGTTTCATTTCTTGTTTATGTTTTGAAAATCATAATTTTTAACATTTAACTTAATCTATTTGATATGAATAAAAATATTGTAGAATGTGATTTGATTATATGATTGATAATGTTAAACTTATTTTGATCGTATCATTGATAACTTTGATTTTGAATAACTTGGAATATTGGAAGAAGATATATATTATCACATTTAACATTTTAAACAATTTTTTTTTGTATAATTTTTACAATTTAAAATCTTAAGAAAATGCACTGTATATGATTTATTAATTGATAAATCGATTAATTCAATTTCGATTTCTGAATAACTGTATCATGAATGAAAAGAAAAAGAAAAATGAATCAAAGAAAATGCACAAGATTGCATTAAATAAGAAAAGAATTTGCGAGCACATGTTCAAGAGAGAAAAACCGATTGAGCAAAGGAAGTTCTGTGTAACATGCTCAAGAGGTACGTGCCTCTCTGTTAAAGAATAGACATCTGGTCTAACTACACTATTCAAACGGCGTCGGTCAATCCGCTGAATGAGGCAATCACGTACGTCCTGTCGACTCGTCGTTTGCAATCTACATGCTGTTCGAGCACCTAAGCTAAACATCTCAAATTCCCTTTCTTAGATTTTTACCAGTATACGTCTTCTTTTCACCTCTATTCCATTTCTTTTGGTCTTTATATTTAAAAATATCAAATTAAGTATAAAAATAAATAAAAGACAACGAAAAGGAATTTAAATTTTCATCTTTTTGATCTTAACAACAATAATCACAATTGTAACAATTATGCAATTAAAAAGTATACAAATACTTGGAAATATGAATGAACATGTATTGAATACTATGTATTTAACTTCAATTTCATTCATATAAAAATTGATCCTTATAATGACAGGTATAAACTAAAGATAGATTGAAATCTGAGCTTTAATTTATAAAAATCGAATTTCGCTTTTTTTTTTTGCTTTTATATTTCCAAATAAATTAGAGTATCTCTCGATTTTTATAAAGTTTGTATAGATTAATTTAAAAGATTCATAGAAATTCAAATATTTATATCATGAAAAATGAAAAACATGATAGAATAAAATAGAAACAATTTTAAGAGGAACAGTGTTAATATTATAAGTATATCGGGCAACCAAGTCTCTTTTAAAATGATTGGCCACTTTTTCCTTTCTCTGTACCTTCTTATTGCCGAGTCCCTTCCGTTCTCCCATATTCCCTTCTCTTCCTTCCATCCCCACCTTACTTCTTTGCCTTACCGTTCCCAGAAGATCGTACGTATTAAAACCTTCGGTGGCTGCAAACTAAAATGGGATAATAGGGAGGCCGGAAAGGCTGCGCGTTCCATCCGGAAGTTCTCACGCGTCTCTCGCTTCTCTCATAGCCACAGTGAAAATGACACCTGGTTCTTGAGCCATAGTATGTATAATAACTATATGCTCGTGTGCGTACGCGTGTGTGTATATGTGTTCCGCGTTCCATGTGTATTTATATATACACGTATATATGTATCTATATATATATATGTAACTATATATATATATATAGTTACGTATTATGACAGATAATCCAAAGAATATACGCGGCGATCAATTAAAGATGTGAGCTTAGAACTTTATCTCTTTGTCTTGTCTTTATATCGTTTCTCATAATTTTTATGAAATTTTTTTACATTGCATAGTACATTGTTGTTCGCTTATTTTCCTATCCGATTGCCAAATTATGCAAATATATATTATGACTTTATCTTATAATGCAATTTTGGAAATAATTTATTTATTATTTTGTACAGGATATAAAATATACTTGTTTTTTTTAAAAATTATTTTTGTAAAATAATGGAATAGTAAAAGAGAATAAATTGAAGAAACTTGTGTAAATGTTTGATAATAGCGATGGGAAAAATGTCGAAGGAATGCCATTTTCAAATTGATCACACGATCACTTTCTCTTTTCTCTTTACATTAGATAATTCGAAGAGTATAATAATAAGTATTATACAAATATCTTTTTGCTTAAGAATTCAAGAGTATTTATTTTTTTTTCATTAACATCAGGAGGATCACGGGAGATACAAATTTTAAATAGAAATATTTATCTTGCGATAATTTTACGATTAAAAAACTCGACAATCTACAATTGTCTTCTTACAATTGTAAATTAAACAACAAACTTTTCGAAATAAGTAGAAAGCAAGATTTAATTTAATTAATGGTATATTTTTTTAACGAGATTATTCGTTGCAAAAATTTATTTAAAATTGATATTATTTAAATCGTTTGAATAATCACAGTAATTATTTTTCCATGAAATAGTATATATTTTGATATAGTTGTTAAAAATTATATGTTTCATATGAACGAATACATAAGTGAAAAAAGGAAGTGAAAACGTTGTAAATATGCGTCAGCTTAATAAAGTAGAGAAAAAAATCGAAGATAATAATTTGACTCGAATCAACAAGAACTTACCCCGATTTGATAAAGGACTCTAGGCGGTTGATGTATCGGCCGATGTTTCCTCTTCTGATCGATCAAATCAAGTTCGATCGCTGTATCCTCAAACTCTTGCAACTTTGCAAGATACTTTCCATCATCGAAAGACAAATATTCATTGAGAAATTTTTGCCCAGTTTCGTCGAGTTCTACGCCAAGGAGGCTACCTTTGCTCTCGCGAACGAGCAATTGCCCGAACATTGCTAACAAAAAACAGATCAAATCAGCCATCCTTTCGCGCACGCGCGATCCTTCCTCGCCTTTTCCTTCCTTCTCTTTCCTCCTCCTTCTTCCTTCCTTCCTTTTTTCTCTTCTCCGCGTCCAACAAAATGATATATTTGATATACAAGTTTTTACTGATCGGTGATCGCAACGATCACCGATCATCGAACAAATGCCTCTATCGCTATGTAAACAATGTGGTCGCCAATTTTCGACCAAGATCGAAGGTAAGAAGTCAAAATAACACCGTCAACAGGATACATTTGCACATAGATATATCACGATTCATCGTAAGCATTTATTTTCCATTTTTCATTGACGCGTAATAAAACATATATATCGAAATCGATCTCGATCTCTTATATATACATATATATCGTTTCAATCGAACTCGATATTATTATATTTCTATCACTGTTTCTTGTAATTGCTTAACAAAAATACAGAAATATTGTTAATCTCTTTTTCTCGTAATTGTTCCATCGGAACAACCCAACTGTTCAAATCGATTCGATCTTCGTAAACTCGAATTTTCCGGTGTTTTAACTCTCTTGTTAGTGTTATCGCGTTCAACGAGAAAACACATTCACCGACAGTGGTGGCAGCAGCAACGTGGCTGGCGTTTGCGCACGCTCTCGAAAACAATCACAGTTCTGTGCACGATATCGTTAATACACCGATATACCTATTCACGCTATTTCTCGTGTCCTTGCGTTCTCCGCGTCTCTATCTTCTTTATCATACGTCCTACGTACTCGGCATCCTACGTTCGAGCGGTCTTAACGATTAATGTTTTGCAACACGATTCGATTTAGTCCGAGGTTAAACGACTCGCAACATTCGCGGTGCGCCGTGCCTATACTATTCGTTCGACTGAACTTCTAACAGCTAGAGGCAAAACATGAATGAGTCTCCCTTCTCTGCTCTTCTTTTTCCACTCCATTCCACTTTACTCCACTCCATTCCACTCCGTTCCATACTCCACCCCACTCCACCCCACTCCATTCTACTCTCCACTCCACTCTACTATACTCTACTCCACTCCACTCCACTCCACTCCACTCCACTCCACTCCACTCCACTCCACCCCATGCTTCATTCCATTCCACCACACCATACCACACTCTATTCCATTCCAATCTACTCCACTCCATTCCACTTCGACACAGCTCTCTTCTTTTCTTGCATCCTTCTCCTTCGGATGCAACCACCAAGCCGCACTCGTCACTTAGACTTTTCTTGCCATCTCTGTCTCTCTCAGTTTTATCTTTCGTCTTTTTTCGTCCTCCTTTATCCTATTCGCCTTTCTTCCCCTGCTCATACTTCCTTTTGCCCGTACTACCTTTTTTGTCAACTTTTATCTCCTCTCTTTTACGTTCTTTTATCCCTTTTGTCCCTTTGCTTCCGCCTTCGTTATTTTTTAACAACTTAACTCGCCTTTACATCTATCTGTAGTATATGTCTATCTATCTGGATAGTATTCGCGATTAGTAATTTTTACCGTGAAAAAAGACAGTGTCTGTTCCTCCATCTGAGAGATGGAATTTTTTTTCTTCGAACGCGACGAGATTAACTTGTTGTTCCCGCGAAATCGTTTCGTATGGAACGCGGGAACACGATGGTAGAAGCCAAGAATAGGAAAAGAGGTGTTGTCACATTTATCGAGCGTACTTGGAAATATCTGTAGGAACAACGCGAAACACATATAAGTAATCTAACTACGTAGCGCGGTAAAAAACGTGTGGGTGGTGGTTTGGTCGACGCGGTTCTCAAGATCATCTCACGCGAGATCGCGTTTGTATTCGAAAGAATATTATTGTCGAATCGAATTAACTTGCGTGGGTCGGTTTAAGCAGCCGAAACGGATTGCTACTGCGCACGCGCTTTCGTACGTACGATCACATTTTTCATTTCAATGTGATTTGTCCAAAATCGAAGGTTCAAATTCGAAGAAGATGATTGGCAATTGTAACAATTTCACTAGCAGATTCCTATCCAATCACCGTAGCGATCGCTCATTGAAATTACCGTCGTGTTACGAACGATTGTTGTGTGCTGCCACTGTAATATAAGCGGCCGATTGTGTAACATACAAACAGGCAATGAATCCAATTACGTGACAATAATAATAAAAATTATTTGTATATGAAAAATATTTACGCATCTGCCAAAGAACATTCTCTTCGCGTTATATATAACATATTGATAGCTAATGTGTTGCTCGAAAGTGTTGATTATTGAATTTTTTAATCTCTCTTAAATCTCCTATATGTTAAATTTCATGTTATTATATTACTCTAATTAAAATTAAATTGTGCTAAAGTTACAAAATATACGATTATCAAATCATATAAGATTTTCCAAAGAGCGATCATGAGTTTGAGGATCGCTGTTTCATTGATTGAGGCCGTGATCCATTCACTCATACTTTTTCTCTTTTCCTTTACAGTTCTTCACTCTTCTCTCATTTGTTTCCTCTGTCTACCTGCATTGCTGTACTCTTACTCTCCTTTATTTATAAAAACGAATAGGAAGAGAGATAAGATCCCGATTTGATTCTGATCTGATTTTATCTCGTCGCATCAGATCGAAGAATAGAACACAATATAAGTCAAAGCGAGTGAAATAAAAAGCATGAACAGGTAAGGCATTGGTTCAGATTATTTTAGAATTATGGTTAATATATATTCATAATTCATTCGTTCATTCCTTTCCATTTCTTCATTGTTACAAATTAGAATTTTTTCTAATTTTAACTTTTCTTCTTCTTTTCCATTGTTTTGATGCATCTATGTAAATATAAATAACGTGTAAATGCGCGAGAAAAGAACTCGGAATAATGATAGATGTACGCGATAACCTCGTTAAAAAAGGCTAAATCTGTGATCTCTAATCTATGATCTCTTCTTTTACATACGTTTAATTACTGCGATTTCATGTGCAATCTTTTAACTCATAAATAATACACGCATCTTTAAAACCTAAGTTTTATGTTATTTTTACCTTAAGATTTGTTTTCCTGTGTTGGCGATAATTTATTACAACGTTTTAATAAATTCGCTCTATCTCCACTTAGAGAACCACTGTGTGTGTGGCATGAATGAATTCTTGCCCGTTGAGAGAGGAGCAAGACTTGCTTACGATTCGACGAGGAGTTTGAAAACAAGGTGGGATTGAGAGAGTAGAGCATCGAGGTAGAGAAGCTAGTAGAGAGGGGAATTGTAGCGTTGGAAGTAAAGTTATAGAGGTGAAACTCTCAACAGCGAGATTGCAGCATAGTAGCGAGAGAAAAGGAATAGCGAGGGAGAGAGGGAAATGTGTTTGTATGTATGCATGTGGTGAGATCGTAACGTTACCACGAGTAGGTAAAAAAAAGGGGATACACCAGATTCTTGCATGTACCGGCGATGGGAGAAGGATGGAAAAGGGCAGGTGAATGCAGGTGCCGCAACCTACGACCGGAAACTATGCTCCTTACTCTTCGACTGTAAATGCTGTGCAACTCTATGTCTTCACCGTCCTAGCGAAGAATCCCGACCGACAGAGAAAGAGATCGTCTTAACTGGGAAGGAAGACATTATCCATGTAACCTAGAAATCTTTTTCGATGAAACGTCTTCTCCTATATATCTTTTATATAGTATATGAAATTTTCTTTAAATACACTATTTTAAAATATATCGTATTTTAGAAAAGAAATAATTCAAAATTATTATTAAAATAATATAGAATTTTAAAATTTGCTATATTGTTTAAATAGTAAAAAAAAAAATAATAAATAAATAAATAAATAAAGAAACGGAAAAGAAAAAACAAGAATCAATTTTTTTGTTCAGGTAAATTATATGCTGCGTTTGGAAAAAGACAAGGTCGAGTGATTGCCGCGGAAAGTGCTCTCGGATTTGGTGGACAATTTCGCGTACTTGCAACTTTACCTGTACCGGAGAGTTTTCAACTTGCCAGGGAACTGCGAACTCAGACATCCGGGCTGGCCAGTCCTCAACTGGTTTTCAGTCATTGGGAGGCAAGTTTTTCCATGTAAAGAGAACACGCGGTCAATATCTCGATATTTTCCACTTTTCAATATCACGAAGTAATTATTAAATATTCGCAAAAATATATAGAAATATTCTTTGTTTTTCTTCGGTCGGTTTTACATTATAATTAATCAATTATTAATTGCTTAATTGCTAATTACTCTTTATTTATTTTCATTTTTCTAACTTTTTCACGAACAAAATGACATATATAAAGTTACATATATATAAATAATTTAGCATTTCATTCAGTTTTTCGTTATTGTTTTATGTATGATTTCATAAAAATATCAAGAAATATAATTAACAAGATTATATAACAACATATATATTTTCGTTATTTAATATAATATATTATAATATACTTATGTATATGTATAAGATACATGTATATATATATATATATATATATATATATATATATTATTT